TTCCCAGTTTTTCTGATATTGGAAGCCGCCATCTTGGATTTGAAAATGACGTCGGATATCGATTCACGGATTTTAGACGTCATTCAGATTCCGGAAATACCCATATTGAAGGGTATTTGGTAGCATTTCCCACTTTTTATGATACCGGATGCCACCATATTGAATTTAAAGATGGCGCTGGACATCTATTTTTGGTCTCTAGACGTAATCCCGATTTCGAAAATATACATATTGAAGGGTATTTAGCAGTATTTCCCACATTTTCTGAAATAGGAAACCACCATCTTGGATTTGAAAATGACGTCGGACATCGATTTTCGGTCTCTAGACGTCATCCCGATTCCGTAAATATCCATATTGAAGGGTATTTGGCAGTTCTTCCCACTTTGTCTAAAATCGGCTGCCGCCATATTGGATTTCAAGTTGGCGCTGGGCATCATTTTCGGTCTCTGGAAGTCATCCCGATTCCGTAAATATCCATATTGAAGGGTATTTGGCAGTATTTCCAACTTTTCCTGAAACCGGATGGATTTGGAACTTGGATTTCAAAATGACGTCGGACATTGATATTCGGCATCAACATGTTATCTCAAAAAATCAATATTATAGGGTATTTGACAGTTTATCTGAAATCAATGGCCACCATTTTGGATTATAAAATGGCGTCGGACATCGATTTTCGGCACTTACATGTCGTCCCCGTTCGAAAAATATCCATATAATAGGATATTTGGCAGTTTTTCTAGAGTCAATGGCCACCATCTTGAATTTTTCTGAATCTGAGAGCCGCTATCTTGGATTAAAAAATGGTATCAGACATATATTTTCGGGATGTACACGTCGAACCCGTTCCGAAAGTAGGTTACTTGACAGTTTTTCAGAATCTGAGAACCGCTTGGATTACGAAATGGCGTCGGACATCGATTTTCGAAATTTCTGCGTCGTCTCCGTTAGAGATGAACTAGCCTAAGGCTAAAAATCTCTTTAATAAAGCCTTAAAAAAAAACGTCGTCCCCGTTCCAAAAATATCCATATAGGGGAATTGTCTCTAATGATTGGGCCCATCGCTAAAAATCTGCTATTTATCAATTTTTTCTGGATGAACGCGTTATTGGGACGTTACTAGTGGATATTTTTGGTTCCTATTGAAAATTTAGTCGATTGCTGAATTTATGTATGGGCCCAAATTAGGGACACTTAGGCCGACATTACCTGCATTTCCCCTAATAGGGTATTTAACAGTTTTTCTTAAGCCAGTGGCCACCATCTTGGATTAGGGTTTTTTAATAAATGGCGTCAGACCTCGATTTTCGGGATGTACTGCATAGTACACTTGTTCCGAAAATACCAAAATTTGATAGTTCTTCTGAATCTGAGAACCGCCATCTTGGATTACAAAATGGCTTCGGACATCGGTTTTAGAAATGTATGCGTCGTCCCCGTTCCGAAAATACCCAAATTATTGAGTATTTGACAGATTACCTGAACACAATGACCGCCATATTAGATCCTGAAATGGCGTCGGACATTGATGTTCGGCATTTACACGTCATCCCCGTTCCGGAAAGACTCATATTGTAGGGTATTTGACAGTTTATCTGAGATCAATGGCCACCATCTTGGATTCTAAAATGGCGTCGGATATCGATTTTCGGCATCTACCCTTCGTTCCCGTTCCAATAATACCTATATTGTAGGGTATTTTACAGTTTTTCTGAAGTCAACGGCCGCCATATTGGATTCAAAAAGGGCATTAGACATCGATTTTCGGAATGAATGTGTCATCCCCGTTCTGAAAATACCCATATTGTAGGGTATTCGACAGATTATCTGAAAACAATGGTTGCCATCTTGGTCGTCATCATTGTCGGTCATTGATTTTCGACAGCTTCCGTTCCAAAAATACCAATCACTAGAAATCACTTAGATACTTGCAAATACGAAGTTCAGCGGCAAGATTCAAGCTACTTCGAGTCAAAGGTGAGATCCCGTCAAAACAACACAATTCCAGTTATTTCAATCTTATTATGTTTCGCTTTGCATCGACATGCATTTACTAGAAAACGACCAGCGACAGTTTTGCTGCGACAGAATGGAAGAATAACATGACAGACTTTTTTCGTCAATAACCATGTCAACAGTTTCCGTCAATCTTGTCGTCCGACGTACGTGAAACAACTAAGTCGTTCTGGAAAACGTCACGCAACAGGTGTTTCGTGATCAAATGAGAGAAAGACAAGAATAGAAAATGTTTCGTGGAGCAACAGCTCAGTAGATCAGTCTTTCAAGCAGAAGTTTGTTGCATCGTGCTTGTCAGATGAGCGTTGACTTTTTGTTGATGTCTTTGTTACATCGTTTATCGTCATGAGGTTGACAATTCCCAAGCCTGATCACTGGTCTGCAGTAGATATTATTAATTCGTGACTGGTGGCCTCACAACGGGATCTCGAATGCTGATTCATACTCTACAAATACGTTGGTTTTCGCAGTATGCTTTTCTTCTCTTAATTCGCTGCACGGCCGTTGAATCTGACTCATATTTGAGTTCCGTTCACTCAAATTCGAAAAAAAAACATAGGCTGAGTAAAATTTTCCCCGATTTCCATAGAAAAAAAATTCCAATATGAGGAAAATCGAGAAAGGTCTCACTCAGTCTATTAGTTTTTTTTTAATTAATTTATTTGTACAGGCTCAATCGAATGAACTTTACAGAGCCAAATTATCTTTTGCGTTATACATTATTAATGTCTTAAATCTAAATCGGTCGTCTCGAGGTTAGTGGAGATTTACAGTTTCATTGATGGGGAGAGGGAAAAGAGAGTTTGAAATATGATTTACGATACAATTATTTCATTATTCCTAAAACATGAACTTATTCCTATTCAACTTGATATCAGCAGTGTAATTATTCTATTATTACAAAACAAACATTAAAAAAAACCAGACACACACACACACACACAAAATACAAACTAAACACAAGGTTAATCAAACTTACAATCTAAGGTTAATATGCTTCAAGAAAGCATATATGCGTTTTATAAACTCCAGATCGCGTCCACCCAAAATATCCCGAACTGGAACATTAGGTTGTCTACCTCGAGCACGAAGGGAATCGTACAGCTCAGATCTGACTCCACGATGCTCAGCACAAGACCAAATTATGTGATCGGCGTCTTGGTAACCTTGTCCACATTCACAGAGATTGCTGTCCCCCAGCCCAACACGGATCAAGTGAGCGTTTAACGAATAGTGATTGGACATGAGGCGATACATCACACGAATGAAGTCTCGACCCACCTCCAACCCTTTGAACCAAGAAATCTTCGACACCTTAGGGATGATCGAATGCTCAATCTATTAGTATACTCCCAGACTGAGCAAAATTTGAGTATTGCTTTTTTTTTTTCTTTTAATGCATGGAAAATTTTACTCAGTCTTTCTATGAGTGACCTATATCGAGGCAAAAGAACGTAAGAACTCCATAAGAACCACTTATGAATTTTATAGGTTTGGCTTATGAAAAATAATGTCGCCAAAAAAATAAACAAACTGAGCATACTGGAACCGAATCACGGACGTTAAAATTACGGGTCCTGTGTCTAGATCACTCGTCCGTCAACGCTTGAGTAAATGAAAAGGCTAAAGGCGTATAACAGTTACCTTATGTTGGACGAAAATCTTTCATAAGTAGCGCTCATGAAATTCATATGTGTCGTTTATATGTCGAGCCTTATGAAAATCGTAAGTCTATTTGCCTCAGTGTATGCTTTGCTGTTTTGAGAGAAAAACCACTTAATAATGAGAAGATAATGATAATGACAAAGAGTATTTATTCTAGAATTCCTTAATTCACTCGTTACAATTGTTACTCCAACGTAAATTTTAGTTTCGTTCACTCAAATCCGTAAAAAAAGACTGAAAAATAAATTTCCTCGATTTTCCAGGAAAAACTTTCCGAATATGAGGAAAATCAAGAGAGGAAAATCAAGTATAATCCTAGACTGACTAAAACTTTCGTCGAACTTCCTCATATTCGAGCAGATTTTTGACAAAATTTATTAATTTAATTTTTAACTTTTAAAATGTCGAACAAAAATCATCAATTTACCGCATCCAATCCATAAGTTCCCCCACAGTGCATCAAACACTGCCCGTAACACGATAAATCGCAAATTGAGTCTAGCCCTTTCCTCATCAATTAGCACATGATTTCAATTTTGCCAGCCTTCCCACTTCCTTTCGGATGGCATTCCAAAATTTTATTCGGTTGATGCTCCACTTTCGATAGCTCCCGACTGCTGCTCCCCTCACCTCCACTGTGAAGCACTGCCCATTGAACGGATGGCGTTGGATGGCGTTGGCAACGATGAGTGCATTTGAAAACATCATCATCAGTTTGTTTTAGTTAAAAATTCCACGTCCCTTTTCCAGCCTTCAACCACCTCCACAATGGGATGGAAGAATAGAACTGGTAGTGATGGTTGATAGGGGCGGGGGCCGGTGGAAAACGACTTTTCCTGACACGGTTTCTGCCGCTGACTGCCACTCTATGACTCTGTGCCATGTATACGTACTTGTGTACCCATAGTTGAATGGCAAACAAAAGTTGAAAACAATTATCAAAACTCTGTGGGGATTCCACGAGGGTGGAAGTTGTCTTGTGCTCAGTTTTTTTTTATTCAAGGTAGGGCCTTGCGCTACTTTGACGTATGGATTACATTTCCACCCGGCACGTTAACAATGAATGCGACAAAGTAGCGCGAAACCCTATAAGGATTAAAATTAAAAAAAACCGGAAATGGAACCATTGTTTGTCTGAACTAGTTGGATAGGAAATGGTTTTCGTTGATCCAATTCGAGCTAGTGACAGAAACGTCCATTTCCATAAGAGAAGTTTGCGTGAACTCAAATGCTTTTGGCAAGAGCGTTGCATGATAATTTATTGAAAAGTCCAGAAAACAAAAAAACTAACCTATCCATGTTGATTCCATATCCAGATTTCCTGCGCAACAAGCAATTAAATGAATCCGCTCACCGGTCATAGCAATTCTGCATAATTCGTCCACACTCACTCCATCAACCATGACCGAGGCGCCGCCTGAATACTCGCAGTTGCGATACTTCTTCTATTTGGAATCACCATCATCCTCCGCCGCCTCGTCCTACCGACAGCACTATGAGCCGGACAAAATGCTTCAATCCTGGGACCTGTCGGCACCGGTACCGATGTCGGAAAATATGCTATCAAATGCCGAGCAGACGCAACTGCTACTGTACGACATCCTAATCCCGTTGCTGGGTTCGTTGATAATCGTGCTGAACGTGGCAGTCGTTACGTCCAGTTTGTTGCTGCTGCGAAAAGGTAAGTGCCACTGCTTTGCATAACGGCTATCAGCGCTGAGGGGGTAGAGCAAACCGGGTAACATGGGATGCCAGTTGTTCTCACTGGCATTACGGAGGACAGTTGCCTCGGTCGGTGAGTTAGGTTACATGGAATGCGCTTTCTGCAATTTTGTTGCCACTCCACGACGTCCAGACAAGCGATGGACCGCACTGCGCTGCAGATAGGTAGATTCTGCATAACAAGGATTATGTCGGACGTCAGTTCTGAGGGGAGTGTACAGTTGTAAGATAAGTTCAGCGTCTGTTTACCGTTCCGACAGGGTGCTGTTGTAGCTTTGGCATTAGTTTGTAGTTACTCAAAAACGTAAGTCATACTGCTTAAGATAGTGGTTCGCTTGATTCCATTCTATGCATCATCATAATTTTGTCGACATAACCTTACTAATGGAAAAGAAACCTCTGACAGACTGTACTTTAAGACCAGTGGTGGGCACATTTTCGGTAAATCGTTAACCGTTGATAAACGGCTTTAATGCTATATTAGCGAATTAACGTTTAGGTTAAATATGTGCTTGAAACACCCGACAGTAACTTTTTCTGGATTGTTAAAATTACGGAAGTTGTCACTGAATGCCACCTAAAACTGTATGTAGAAACATTATGGGATCCAAAGATAAGTGCTGCAGATTTTATGGATTTAAATTGTCAACGACGTCTTTAAAGAATTCAACGCTTTGACCCAGTTAAGAATAGCTGTTGATCGACACAATCCGAGCTAGAAGTGCTAGTTTTTGGATGAAAACTTCAAATTACTATGAAAAGCTTTGAGTGGGTTGGTTTATTTCCTTTAAATTCCGTTATAATTGCTCCAACCCACCCAAAGCTCTTCATGAAGGGATTCCGTTAAGAGGTTCGACAAATTTAAAGGATTGTTCAAATTACTAAAGATTTTCAAAAATAAAGAAAGATTCTTGCATTTAGTAGAAGGCAAACTAAGTTTTAATTTTATCTGAACGTGATTCAATCGGTGATTATAATTAACAGGGATGCCACATTTCAGTTTGCACTCAGCTGTCGAAGCAGTAGCAGCTGTTTTTCAGTCGATCACACTATCGACAGTTGCTTACTTCTTTTGGTGCACTTAAAGCACACATTGTGTTTTGCCAATCGAAATGGAGGTACGAAGCCAACCATGGGCGATATTGCTAATCTCGTGAAATCACTGGACGCGAATTCCGTTGACATGGACGCCACATATCGGATTGTGGAGAAGGCGATCTGCATCAAATTCAAATCTGAAGCACGCATACATTATGGCCTGATGCATAACCTAAAGCGATTAACTTTCCATTATGCTAATGGCACTGTGTACTGCGAGTTTACAATCTGTCACCAGAAGTACCAGATGGTAATAAGCTTACGTTCGTTATGGGAAAATACGGGAAAGTGTGTCATCCGGGAGAAATTCCCTGCTGAGTTGGGCCTCGACATGTACGCAAGTGTGCGAGGTGTATATATGGACGTGAAAAAATTAAAGGGTTGTGTCCTAGAAACGACCGCAGTACCCAAGTAACAATTGTAAGAACAGAAGTTGATTATTGGTTGATTTAATGTGTACGAAGCTGATTAACACCAGGCTGAATATATAGTTGATTAGTAGTGCATGAAGCGAATTGTATCCCCATAATTCAACCTCAGTAAGTTAGCTGATCTAAAGACTGAACAATATTAATTTAAGCTTAATAATACTTCATAAACCAGCAATGCGCTGCAAATATTTTAATAGCCTGATAGAATAATAAGAATTTATTGCACAATAATGTTAAATGTCGTCAGTGTCACTTACTACATTTCCGACATTTAAGTTATTCTAAATTCAGTGCCTACTTTTCTAATCCCAAGCAGCACCAGCAGTAGAGACAAGGAAGAGGAGCTTTTTAAAAATAGCTCCACCTAGAAGTGGACTGTTACGACATCGGAAGTATTAACATTTGTATTCCTGTGTTTTGTCTGTTCATCACTTTATATTGCATTTAATTTTCATACCGTATTTCAAAAATATAATGCAATTATAGTACTAAAATAGCATCGAAATACATCGCGCACTTGTATCCAAATTGTGTTTACTGCACTTGAAATAAGAGGAATGTTTACCTGTCATAATTTATTGTTTACAATTCTGCATTGCTGTATAATACTCTTCCAGTTACTATTATTCAACTTAGTTTTGACGTGCTTCAAGTTAATGATCATACCTTTTGCCACAAATATGCTTATGTGGTCGAGTGGCTGTAGTAGACGCCTGTGAATCAGCGACTGCCGGTTTGAATCCCGAAATGTAAAGGTAATTTTTAGACACATAATAACAATATAAATATGTAAATACAATTAGTCAGCAACATTCTAAAGCAGCATCATAGTATGTATGAGATATGAAACGGTCTATTATTATTATTATTTAAAAAAAAAAACAAGAAGGCTGAACAAGGGTTGGAAAAGACTGTTGATTAATGCCTTGAAAAGCTTATTATTTATACTGCTGCTAAGCTATGGGCTGATTAAAACCACCAGATTTAGATGTTTAAAAGCTGAACAAAGGTTAAAGTGGTCTATGTACAATAATTATTCAAACTAAGACTGAATAAAAATCGTTGAAAGAACACTTGTTAAGCATCAATTTGTTACCTGGGTATGACGTAGAACTACGCCAAATTGATGTATGTCATGCATTTTCGACTATTATACTTTGTTTTAAATTTTTCAAGTGTTTCAATGTTTCCGTTATGGCTCAAAACTCGCGACAATTCATGTTAGCATAATCGACAACCGTTCATATTACGCATGAGATAATGTATTTAAATTTAATATAATGGTTAAGAATAGACAGAATTTTCCCTACATAACTACATAACATAGAGTTGATCAATGTTGATCTATTTTGCTGTGATCAATGTGCACCCAGACAACCAGAATGTACGTATATTTAAAGTTTCCATAAAAGTGGAGGCCATATACGTGCAAATTTTAATTTCTTTTTAAACGAGTTGATTTGACATTATATACGATTCAATCTGTAATAACAAATTCAATTTGAAAAACCTTGCGATGTAATCCGATTTAATTTGTGATGCAGTACGATGAAAAAAAGATTCGTCGTATATAAGTCGGAAATTTGCATTCTATACGATTTAACTTAAACATAATGCGATGTATGTCATACTTATATGCGATGGTGACTTAAACTGTAGCTATTTACGATACTTTCTGTGCATTGTTATACGACTTCTGGTTGTCTGGGCACTAACTTCGACATCGACTACAATAAGAACTGACACAATTTCGTCACACATGTTTTGTTGATTTGCCCCTCAGTATAATACACAAAAAAAGGCATGCATGTTGTGGGATAAAACAATTCGCCAAAAATACGTTATTTTTTCATTAGTTTTGAATTAGGTCCATGAAGCAGTGAAGAGAGTTAAGGTTGCATTTTATGATAAAGCAACAGGCAGTTGTTTTCCCTATCAGAAGACGGTACTTTCAGTTTTGAACAAAATGTCAACGAAGTAGGGGAGGAAGCGGTATAACGATCAAACGGGGTTTAATCACCTCTTTGTTCTCCATAATATAAAATTATCATGCATCATCATTATGTACTTTACAGCGTGCTCGTACAATGATGCAAAATAGAATACTGTGACTTTCCTCAAATCAAACGTTTGGCTTCCAATAAGTAGGAGCTTAGTACAACATTAATTGAAAATTAGGGGGATTCAGTTATTGATTTTCAAAGTCAGAGCAAAAGCTCGTATACAGGTTCTCCACCTGTTCAATGTTTTGATAGTAAGCATCATAGTTAAGGTACATCGGGGCAAGTTGAAACGGTACAAGTATCTCTTAGCGGAAGTGAATATTCACTGTAATTATTTTTGAGAGGCATTGTGTACTACCGGAAACTACTATATTAGAAATAATCTCAGCGATTATTCACTTCCGCTAACAGATACATCCACCGGTTCAAGTTCCCCAAGCACTTCTTTCTATATGATGCACGGTATATGCATTTGGGTAAACATCCGACGTCCCTCCTTCTTTACATACTTACCTTACCAATCAGGCTAAGGCCTTGTTGTCCTCTGCTGTCCGAAGAAGTCGTCTCCACTCTACTCGATCCATGGCCACAGTTCGCCAGCCTCGTAGTCTGCGAAGGGTCCGCAGGTCACCTTCTACTTGGTCGATCCACCTTGCCCGCTGCGCGCCTCTTCTTCTTGTTCCTGTTGGGTCGCTTTCTAGAACCATTTTCACTGGGTCGTCGTGCGGCATTCTTACGACGTGCCCAGCCCACCGTAGTCGCCCAATTTTTGCAATGTGAACGATGGATGGTTCTCCCAGCAGCTGGTGCAATTCGTGGTTTATTCGCCTCCTCCACGTTCCGTCATCCATCTGCACTCCACCGTAGATGGTACGCAACACCTTCCGTTCGAAAACACCAAGGGCGCGTTGGTCCTCCACGAGCATAGTCCAGGTCTCGTGGCCGTAAAGGACCACCGGTCTAATCAGCGTCTTGTAGACAGTCAACTTCGTGCGGCGGCGAATTTTATTCGACCGGAGCGTCCTCCGGAGTCCAAAGTAGGCACGATTCCCTGCCATAATGCGTCTTTGAATTTCTCTGCTGGTATCATTTTCGGCGGTCACCAGTGAGCCCAAATACACGAACTCATCGACCACCTCGATTTCGTCACCGTCAATCTGAACTCGGGGTGGGAGGCTAACATTGTCTTCCCTAGAACCTCTTGCTTTCATATATTTTGTCTTTGATGCGTTGATGGCAAGTCCAATCCGTCTAGCTTCAGCCTTCAGTCTGATGTACGTTTCCGCCATCATCTCAAAGTTCCGTGCCATAATGTCAATGTCATCGGCGAAACCAAGGAGCTGGATGGACTTCCTGAATATCGTGCCACTCGTGTCTATCCCAGCTCTTCTGATCACACCTTCTAACGCGATGTTGAACAGCAGACA